TTCTTGTCTGATTCTTCGCCCCAAAGAAATCTAGCCATTACTGAGTTTAGTTTCTGATTTACCTTAAACGGAATTTTGAAAATAGAGAGGTAGAAAATAGGTAAGGAGGACAACACCAATTTTACCAACACCAATCTTCTAGCCATCGATAAAGAGACAGCTTTCCAACGTGCTAATTTGATGTAAACTTTCTGTAATACTGGCTCCCACAGCAACTCTGAATTTTTCTTTGCTCTTATCGGTAAACCTAGATAAGTCATAGGAAAAGATCTCACCCCACAGCCTGCTTCCAGTGCATATTCTTTTATACTGTCCTCTGCAATATTAACACCAAACAGTTTACTCTTGTACAAATTAAGGTGTAACCCTAATATTAACCTGAACACCCCTCTCTTGATATTAAGAATTTGGGTTGAAGAGTCTCTGCAGAATAAGATTAGATCATCTGCAAACTGGAGATGTGTCAAATTAAAAAGATTCTCTTCCTTACCAATACTGAACCCTTCGAAAAGACCAAGATCAGCAGCCTTACTCAACATTAAATTTAAGAGCTCACCAACAATATTAAACAAAAGAGGGGACAAATTACAACATTGTCTCAACCCCTTGCCCATCTGAAATTCTTGTGTAGGAGATCCATTAACTAGAACCAAAATTGAAGCAAAAGAAATACAATAATCAATCCAAGAAATCCATTTGTCCCCAAAACCCATTACCTTCAATAATCTCAAAATAATTGGCCATTCCACTGAATCATAGGCTCAACGAAAATGAACTTTGAAAACAACTCGTTTCCTTCTTTTTTTCTTCCAATAATCTATAGATTCATTGGCCATAAAAGCACAATCAAGCAGCTACCTACCTGGAATAAAGGCGAACTGCGAAGGGCTGATCAAATCTTTAATAACAGAAACCAGTCTTCTCGATAGGATTTTGGAGATTATTTTGTATAAGCTGCCAACTACACTTATTGGTATGTAGTCTTCAATACCTTCTGGATTTAGTTTCTTAGGAACCAATGTAATAATAGCATGATTGACCCCATGCTCCCAACTCCTCCCTCTGTGAAAATCATCCACAAACTTCATAAGATGATCCTTCAGTATAGGCCAAAATTTTTAAAAAAAACCCATCGTGAAATCGTCTGGACCTAGGGCTTTGGAACTGTCCGAATGAAACACTGCTTCCCAAACTTCCTTTTCTGAAAATTTTACCTCAAGACCATTCTTCTGCCCCTCTGATAATTTCACAAAATTAAGATTAATATCCTCTACCTCTAGCATAGCTTTTGTACTATAATTCTCCTTAAAATACTCAAAGACAGAGTTTTTCAGCTTATCCGGATCAGAAATTTCTTCATCAGCCACTTTCAAAGCCGAAATTGAATTCATTCTATTTCTATTAATTGCTGTTAAATGGAAAACTTTGTATTCCTATCTCTTTCCTTGATCCACTTCAGTCTTGATCTTTGTAACCAAATACTCTCTTCCCTCCTGTGCAACTTCCACAATTCGTTCCTGGACAAAATCAACAAATCCCGATCTTGAATGGAAATCCCTCTTTCTTGTAACTCCTATTTATCTTGCCTTCTAGTTCAGAAATATCTTCAGAAATCCCCTTTTGATTCCTATTGGGCCTATTCCTGATCATTTGTTTTGTTCCTCGAAGTAAACAGTCCCCTTCGACCATTAGCCTTCTTCACTTTAGACAATGAATTTTCAACCAACTCAACAAACCCATCTTCCTCTAACAAGTAGTTGAATAATCTAAAAGGCTTAGGTCCCCAATTGTTGCATTCTTCTACTAACACCACTGGATTATGGTCCGAAAGGGATTTGAGTAACATTTTCTGGATCACATTAGGAAATTGATTTATGAAGGAACCGCTAATAATAAACCGATCAAGCCTTACCCAAGTAGGAGACTCTCTATTGTTGCACCAAGTATATTTTCCTCCAACTAACGGTAAATCCATAAGATTAAAATGTTGAACAAAGGATCTAAACAAATCCATGGAATGCCAATTTTGTGATACACCACATTTCTCCTCTGTATCCAAATATGCATTAAAATCCCCCCTATGCAAACTGGCAGATTTAAACTCTGCACAAAACACATCAGCTCCCTGAAAAACTCCTCTTTATCCGCCTCTACTGACGGACCATACACATTTATTAAAACACAATCAAAGTTATACAGCTTGAACTTCCCTGACTGTTCTGATTATGTTCTGCACTGACCTCAAAAAAATTCTCATTCCACAAACATATCAATCCACCTACAGAACCCTCTGTTGGATGAAAGATACGACCTTTCAATAGATTACCCCTTAACTTCCTCCATAGACCACTATTACAAATATTCAGTTTTGACTCCTGTAAAAATAGGATGAACGGCTTCTCTTTATTAACAAGTCTGGCCACTGCTCTGATTTTTTCTCTTCTCCCAAGACCTCTAATATTCCATATGATTACTTTTAACTTTGACATTTGAATTGAAAATCATAAGAAAACAAATCTATAGAAACCATCAGGATCTCCTTGAAGACCCCTTCATCTCCATCTTAAAAATCTCATCCTCTAATAATTGCTGCCCCCCTTTAAAGGTAATCCCCAACAAGTCACATACCTCCCTAGTAGCCGCAGCAGCTTCATTCCTAGCTTTAACAGAAGATTAGGAAGATTGTGATAACTCCCTGACTTGATCCAACGAATCCCTGACCATACTTCTAAAAACCCTTCTATATACTCTATCAAAAAAAGCTGATAAACACTTCAGTATCCGAGCATACACTTCCTGAGCGACGTGGAGCAATTCTCAACTTTCTCTGATTAATAAGACTTTTAGACCGAGGAATACACTAATCCTGATGTTTGGTTGGAACTAGATGAATCTCCTTTGCTTTAAACTGACCATCCCTCTTAAGTCCTGAAGTGCTTCCCTCTTGATTCTCATAACTCATATTCCTTACACTCGAACTTGAGAAGCTTTCCTCATTGAAGCTACACATATTATCCTCCATGACCTTCTTCATCTTCTTTAAACCTTCCGATTGATCAACTGAAAATTTACTCCTCTCCACATCCTTATGAATCTGTAAATTGGAAACGTGATCCCCATCCAGACTTCTCGTGCCAACAGACTTTTCTTTATACATTTCAGCACCCTGTTCGCTTAGAACCACTTCCTTCTCCCCCTGTGAATTATCTTTCACCACCCTATCCTCCCCCTCATCAGCAGCAAGCAAATGATTTGCAGAAATGGCATTGGGTTGTAAAATAAACTTATCTCCAACCCATTTTAAATTGTATGCAAGCCCACTAGGAAACAATTTCTTAATTGATGAAAAAGCATCCTCATTGTCCTCTGATTGAACTAAGTCCACCAGGTCAATTGTATCTCGCAATCCCAGGCCCACGTGGTTACCCTTCTGGTTTGTCCTATTTTCCAAGAAACCTGACATCCCAGAATCAGAATTATCTGCTGTCGACTTACTCGATTGGACATGTCCCTCACTGACTCCATTCACTCCACTGTTCTGCCCATAATTCAGCCAAGAAATGACTTTAAGCCTAGCATCCTCTGTGAACTCATCCCTATCTGCTGCCAAAGTAGGACGTCTTCCATCTCCCTCCTCAGACAAGACATAACCATTGTTCTTTTTTTTTTTAAATTTCTCCATCTTCTTCCTCCCCACTTCTTCTGGTTTATTCAAAACAGACCCCAGTGAGATCTTAACTTTGAACGATCTGCCATACGATCCTATCATCACCGTATCAGGAACATCATAAGGACTTTCCACCCTAAGCAGAACTTTCGCCGACGAGAGGTCCGATCTGCTCTCTGAATCTTCATTAAAATGTAAAAACTGACCCCACTTCCTAGTAAGTTTTCTCATGAATGCCTCATTCCAACACAGTAGAGGCAATCCAAATAACTCTATCTGGCAAAGGGCCGATGGAACTCTATCCTTGTTCAAAACTGGGACCAACCAGTCTAAGCATAAGAACATCTCTTCCTTTTTATTCATCCATGCCTGTGAGAACTCCTCTACCGAATTGAAAGTAATGATGCACGCATTCCATGCGTAACCCCATCTTACAACTTGAACTTCTATACCCTCTATCTCTAAAGCTTCCTTCAACGAGTCATGGACGAAAGTAGATTTCATTATCCCTGTTACTGAACGTTTAACCCATTCTGAATTGTCTGATGGAATATGCATCTCCCAAACGTTCCTCACACTAAGTGCATTCTGCTTGTTACCCACCAAGTTTGCCCCTGACACTGGTTCTCTTCTCAAATTATATTCAGAATTCACCACATCCTTATATGATCTGCCATCCCTCATGCTTCTCAACGACTCAGCTTTCCTCTCAATTTTTGAAGTATCCCTTTCCCCTGACTTGATCTCCAACATCCTATTCCCCTCCGCAGCTTCCCTCCTCTTAACCTTTTGATACTTAGGAATCCCTACTGAGACTCTTCTCCCTTTAATCCACTTCCCATTCACGAACTGGATTGCCTTATTTCTACTTTCCTCACCAGCAAATTGGACAAATGCAAAAGTAGAAGACTTATAATTTGGTTTTTCTAAAAAACGAGGGATGAAAATCCTCAGAATCTGACCATAAGGACTAAAATAATCCCTTAACACCCCTCTTGAAACACTCTTACTAAGATTATCAATGAACACTGTCCATTCCTCCTCAACAACATTGGACTTTTTCAAATTTACTCTCGCTCTCTCTTTACCTATCGCGCTCATTCTCTCTCTATTAATTTTGTTGAAGGATATCTTTTTAAGTGCATTAAGACTTAGAAGAGATGAAACAAAATCCTTCACTTAAAGTGGAATTTTACAATCAACAACTAAGAATGAAATTGATAGAATTCAACCTACCAAAAACATCTGTTTGCTCTTTTCCAGTGTGAAATTGCACTTCAATAGCAGACCTCAAATGGCAATAAAAAGACCATGCATCACCTTTTTTGCTTGGTGATCACATATCTGAGACGTAACATAATAACAGTATATCAAAACAAAAGTGCAGTACTTATGAATATAAATTATCTGATACAAATTTTGAATAAAATTTTGATGCCGTAAAGTATCTTAAAAGTAGAAATGAACATGTGAGACAGATCCATACAGAGGGAAATGTTGCACATAATAGTTTGTTCACATTCCCAGAGGTTTTCTCAATCCACTCTTTTGTACGATCTACATGAAAAGGCCCCAGTCCTTTGCCGAGAACTGGGCTACTTTTTTCTCCAGATTCAGTCTTAGAGCTAATAGAATTGATTGATTCACCATTTACACTTTCTAGCACTCTTCTGCCCTCAGCCTTTAATGGCAATTGACGGAGTTCATCCAAGAATGAAGTTGTAGATTTTTGTACTTATTTGAATTATGGCCAAAAGAATCATCTTTGTACATATCAAGACCAGACGAATTGGCTTCATCTTCAAGTACTACCATAAGGTATTCAGCCAATCCCCTAATGGCTTGGTCAATAACTTCTACACTTCCAGCAGCCCCACTTATCATTGCTTTTGAAATGTGCAACACTTTGGAAAACTGACTAATGATACCAGGTAAGAAGAAAGCCAACGCATCTGCAGTACCTACCTGAAAAAGATGTAATATACCAACAAAATTAATCCAAGCTTCCATATGTGATGACACATTGTTGCAATAAAAGTCTAGAACTACTCCACTCAAATCAGATGACCTAAAACCTTTGCAAGGCCACAACCTTTACCAGTAGAATAGCCTTCATTCTTGCGTGATAAATAGTTCCACACTCTACTCATTTCCCAATCTAATTATTCCTACAAAGAAAATCCTCTTACAACTATAAACATTACGAATATATTTTTGCATTCATACCCAGATACATAAAGCAACTTGTATTCATAATGAAAGAGTATGTCTAAAACTTAAGGAATTTAGATTGCAAAAATGACAGAAGAAAACAGCTTAAATATCACATAAAGATGTTATTCTATTTATTTGAAGATTAATTTTTTCCTATTTCTATCATAAACAAGGCCACACTCAAATTTCCTTTATCAAACTAGTGATTTCTACTAAAAAACTAAAATCGTCTACTGGATGGAATCATTAGGAATATATGTCACTACAAGTTTTACAAATACATATGAACTACATGCAGGTAAATGCAAACAGTATGTCTCAAAAGTGAAATTTACATGGCAAAAGCAACAAAAAGCAGTGCTGTCAAGGGCACAAAGGACATTTTAGGCATTAGAACCCTTATATTGCTTCAAGCGCAAGGCACAAAAAAGTGCTACCTTCATGAAGGAAAGTGCAACATGTGTGTGCATATGTTTATGCTTTTGTGTGTGTGTGTGTGTGTACATAGATATAAAACCTTTTTTACTAGTCAATGTGCATTGCTCACATATTGAGAAATATAGATTTCAATGGTATCTCTTTCTTACTAGTAAATGTAGTATATCTAAAGAAAGAAGTGCTAAATAACAGGAACTAAAGAGAACTTCAATCAGGCAGGCCTTTTTTATGCCTATTGCCTTACAAATAAACACCATAGGCATGCACGTGATCAGATGGACCTCACCTGAAAGAATCTAAGGCGCTTTTGTTGTCTAGTGCTAAGGGGCAGGCATGCCTAGGCTCACGCCTTAACAACACTCCAGTTAGAAGAAAAGGCAAGATGGAATTTCTCCCATGTAAAAGTTTTATTCAAAATATGCAGGGTGTCCATTGTAGGCAGTTATGTTGAATGAAAGACAAAATGGAGAAATTAATAAGAAAAAGAAAATAATATGCTTCAAGAAGAATCCCCTTCTTAAGGATCTAATGAATGCACAAGTACGTACCTTAGCAACAAGAACACGTAGGGTTAAAAAGGCTTCAATACGAAGATTTGCACTGCCTCGATGTCCTCGTGTAGCCTCGGTATCAGCAGCCTTATCACAAGACACATATAAATTTGATATAAATAATTAAATGAAATGAATTGCCCAAAACAAAAAGATTAAATATACTCCAGTATAAGTATAGATAAAAGGGTATCAATGTACTTTGAGCAGAAGAGAACGCCAGTGTCCAACAGCAGCCGAAGCTGCTTCTGACTGCAAAAATGCTAGTAACATTCTCCTTGTTCCAAGTCAAACTTCAGAGTTCTATTTGACATCAGTAAGTCTCTAGTTTCTAAGAGCACTGGGAGATTAAGGCTTTGTTTGAACAAGCAGGACTGATTAGGACAATGAAGTAAATTCAGAAGCAAAGCCCTGAAACATTTGATAACTCCTTCACGAAACTCTTCTGATGCCTCAGATGAAGAAAGCAAAGCAGCATAAGTCAATTTTTTCAGATACACAACCATCTGAGACAAGAAAGCATTAAATTTCATTCAGATTAAATGAAAATATTCAGATATAATATGATCATCCTAATACATCTGCAAACAGGAAACCTAATATAGGCATCAACTTTCTCACAGAAATATGTTGTTTTTTTTTGGGTGGGGGGGTCACAATTTTCTCAAAGAAATAAGAAGGCAAATATTAAAAAAAAAACAAATTCCAACAATAAACCTCGTCATAGGAGACCATATTCATGCTGGAAATCAAGGGTTATTGAACTAAAACAAAAAAAAAAGGACGGATAAATTCCTAGCTGGGGACAGCACAAGTGCTACTAATCTTCAGTTTGAAATCATTTTCTAAAGGATAAATCTAATAGCCCATTACATTAATAAACATCAGTTTAATTATCATTTTTCCACTAGGTTTTTGTTTAAGAGAAGTATCATATGGTCTTGTGTTACATTTTTAAATATTAAAATAAAAATAAAAAACACATAACTTGTATGGATAAAAATATAAATCACTTTACTTTATATGAAACAAACCTATTTGAACACATGTTACATTTGAATTATATATATATATATATATATATATATATTCACCATTCAAGGTTCCCTAAGTCTGGGTTTTCTCATCTTTGCTTTTAATTCATTTTGTTTATTTTCCTGTGTTTCATTCTTTTAAGCAATCATTTGATATAAAGACTGACTTTTAGTTAACTTATAGTTTAGCTGCAAACGAGATGGTGCCTATTACTTGGTTGATGTATGCTTATCGCTTTATTACGAAGGGGATAAAAAAATAACAAACAACAAAAGCATTTCCTTCTAATAGCAGGTAGAACTCTATGCGCCATGATCTACATTGCATTCCCCATATTCAAATTCAAGGTATTAGACGCATGTACATATTTCAAAAGGTAAAATAAACAAAATATGAGAAAAATTTACTTAAATAGAGATGAAAAAAAAGGGGAGATTGACCTGATCCACAGAACCCAAATGGCATTTCTTGAGAACCTCTTCCAAGCACACCACCACTCCTTCTGCTACTTTATCACTTACTCTTTTATTATTATTACTTTCACTTTTATTCCGCGAACTTCTGCAATCAACTGCAGCATCCAGCAAAAGCAGCAATGGAAACCAAGTGTAGCTACAAAAAAAAGGAACACAAAAATCAAATTCAGTGTCATTAAAGTAATTGATTTCGTATGCTGTAATCCTAGAATCAACACGTAAGTAGTAAAAATAACAATCAAAGGAAGTCTAAAAAGCAATGGAAATAAGCATAAGAAGAAAGGAAGAATTGATTACTCAAAGAAGGACTGGAGAGAATAGGATGGGGAAGAGCGAAGCAGGGGAGCAATGCTGGAATAGAAGAGGCATGCTTTTTAGGGTTTTGGGAAAGCTCAAGAAGCTCCAAACAGTAGGGTTTTAGGTGTAAAAAGATTTTGCTTCTTTCATCATCTTCTTCTCCCTGCGACTCCGTGGAACCGAGAGAAATTTTAACAAAACTTTCCGCCATATCCATTCTGTTTCCGTAAAAAATCAACAAATATTAAAAGATAAAAACGGAAGAAAAGGAAAAGAAAAGAGGAGAGGTGAAGAGAAAATGCTAGACAGAGGAAGAAGGAGAGCGAAATGGGTTAAAACAGGGGTGTGGGTGTCCAAAGAGCAGCAGGGAATACGAGACTCGGGTTTGGAAGGATTACGGATTTTTTTATAAAAAAAATTGAGTTTAGGTTGGATTTTTTTTAAGGTAAGGTCGGATTGGGATTGGGATTGGGATTGGGTTCGGGTTCGAGTTTGAGTGGATGGTGAAAAACTCCTACCAAATATGATCTGAAGATAATAGTGTAATTTCTCTAAACAAATTATTATTTTTTTAATTAGGTCTTTAATTTTTTCAGGTTGGGTCGGGTTGGATTTATACTCTAAACAATGGGTCTAATCGAAGTTAGATAGAGGATATATATTTTTCAGGTAGGATTAGATCAGATAGAGGATATAAATTTCAGGTCGCATTAGATCAGCTAAAGGATATAAAATTTCGGGTTGAGTCAGGTTCAAGTGGAGGATACCTATTTTCGGGTCGGATTGGATTGACCAAAAATCCAACTCTAACCCAACTCGTTGTCATCCCTGATAGGCCTATTTCATTAAAGGAAAAATCGATTTCCTTATTTGAGTCTATAGGATATTTGAGTCTTTCATTTTAAAATGATGTTTATTATTGCAAAAAAATATATATCTTTAAACATTTTAAGGCATATTTTAAATGAATAAATGTGAAGGTTCGAATCATAAAATTTTATTTTATATTATATTTTTGAGACTTATAATGGTGTATCATACACTTAAAATTATTGAGTAATTAATGAGAAACTAATAATCAAATTAAGCTACTTGTATGAATCTACTATGATACATAAAGATGGGGTGTAGATGATGACGTTACACACCGTATAAAGGCGGGATGGCTAAAGTGGAGGGCTGCAACTGGAGTTTTGTGTGACAATAAGGTGCCTCTAAAACTTAAGGGAAAATTTTTTAGAATGGCAATAAGACCAGCGCTGTTGTATGGATCAGAATGTTGGGCAATCAAGAAGGATCACGTAAGGAGGATGGATGCCGCAGAAATGAAAATGCTTTGATGGACATGTGGTAGGACTCTGTGGGACATGACACCAAATTCTGCTATTAGGATGTTCTTGGGGGTGGTGTCTGTAGCCGAAAAATTGAGGGAGGGAAGACTACGGTGGTTTGGGCATGTCCTTAGGCAACAACCGTCGGATACGGTCAGGAGGGTAGAGTCGATTACAGTCGACGGTGCCAGAAGGAGAGGACGACCAAGGCGGAAGTGGGAAGACTGCTTGAGATCTGATTTGAAGGATTTAGCCCTTACCGATGACATGACCTCCGATAGGAAAGTATGGAAACTTAAGACCAGGGTAGCCGAGTAGTGCGGGTCACAGCCATAGGGTGTAACATCTCTGTCTTCTTTTTATTGCCTTTATAGTAATTTCCATGACTACTACTTTTTATACGTTTCTGTCATTGGAATTTATGAAGACTCAGAACTAGGGTTGCGAAGTAGTGTTGTCATAGTTTAGGTTTTAACCCATTTTACTTTATTCCTTCTCCTAGCTTGCTATCGTAGACTTCTGTGTATCTTTCTCTTCAGGTTTCCTCTTTTTAAATTTAGTCGAGTCTTACGTTTCTGTCTATATGCATATATTTTTACGCAGGGATTTATTTGCAGGGATTACTTCCCATTACAGACGCTCATATTAAGACTACAAATGAAGACTGTTCAACTTTGTATTTATTTATTTATTTATACATGCATTGCATTTTATCTTTATTTTTATTTTCTGACTGTCGGAGGTCTTCCACGGAAGCTGCACTCAACCGGAGTTGGGGGCAGCCTACTAACCTACCTCCCCCTTACCCCATTACATATGAGAATAGGGTTTTGTTGTTGTTGTTGTTGTATGAATCTACTATTTAAACCTACAAGGTTAAGACATAAATATTTTCTCTTTTTTCAATGAGTTATCAATGATACAAAAAGATTATGTTACAGTTTGTTGAGCATTACAATCGTATTATTGCTTGGTTATATATATCATTATTGTATATCGGGAGACAGTCGACCAATGCTTGTCCAACATCGTTAGGAACAAACGAATTTATCTTAAAGAAATTGTACAAACATATCTCAACGTCTTTGTTCATTCAATTAATGACTATCGACGAGCAAACAATTTTATATCATCCGTATTTTCTTTCTGTTCGATTGTATTATAATTTATTACGATTATTACTATTTTACTTTCTTGGATCTTAACATTTGTCTAACATTCACGTTTATACCTGATTCGACTCAATTTAATAATTCCTTGTTATATTTTGACAACAGAAATGTTCATCGAGAAAACAAAAAAAACTACAACCGTCGGATTGAACTCACTCCAATCGACCGCTCGATTAACCTTCCTATAAAATAAAGAAAAGGATACAAATTCAAATATATTGTAAAGCATCCAACACATCCTTTTCAACAGAGGCACTTGACTATATTTAAGCTTATAACTTAAAGCGTTTGATAAGAATTTCATTATCCGATTCCATCACTATCTTGGTCCATCCTTATCGAAGAACGGCATGAACTCTTAATTGGCATGCACGAACCTTCGTCGCACTTGTATATAGGGACGGACACAGGATCTTATGTTAGGGGGACGAACTTGAGCTTATAAAAGGCGAACTTGAACTTATAAAACTCTAGGGGGCGAAAACAGATTTTCAATCAAAAATACATAGAATAAATCTAAAATATATGATAATTTTAAATTTTTAGGGGCAGCTGCCCCACCCGCCTAGGTCCATCCCTGCTTGTATAGGAAGTGGCGACAATCATATTAACATATTCAGAACAACCTCCGAAGTGGTGACAATCATATTAATACATTCAAAAACATCCTCGGACCATCGCTACTGTACTTGGTTTCCTCGAAACATCATAAAAATGAAGCATCACAATAAATTTTAACAAAACCTGGATTAAGTGAGCTCCAAAAGGGATCCGAAGAGTGGTTCGGTTCCTGTCAAGGCATTCGCTTCATCTTTTTATCCATAATCCCAATATTGATTTAAAAAAAAAATCACAGATTCCTAACTTTCCATAAAGCCAACACATGAAATCAATAGAGTTGAGGAGGTTGCGTTGAAATTCATTCATCAAGGCAGAGTCCAAGTCTTCCTCTCCAAGAGGCTTGAGCAAAGGGACAGAAGAACAAGACATATTCAAAGGATTCCAACTCTTTCTTACATAAAAGAGAAGCTTTAATCAATAGTGAACATTAAGATTACTTGCAATAGCATTATAACAAATCCCCCACACAAAACATCAGATCTTTGGTGGTGTGTTAACATTTCAAATTTTTGGTATGGTTTGAATGGCTTTTACCTCATTGAAAAAGAGAGATTTAAGATTACTCATTTTTCATTTCCTTCGATCATGGTTGATTAAATGAATAACCATTCCAACGCTTGTATTATAAAATATGTTATATTTTGAAAATAAAAGTTTTGAAAATACGGCGGTTGTTTCGACGGTCCAGTGCGACATTTTATGCTCGTCATTCCAAGATCAAATTTGGAGTGTTACATCTCGAGTGTTAGCATTGTCGCTGTAGATATCGAGGAGAGTGCTGTAGGCTCTCTAAGACCTATTTTAGTTGTGGATCTTTGGAGCACTTTGTCAGGGATTACCTCAACTCTACTAGTGTCACTCCAGTGTAATCCCAAAGATCGACCTTGTTAACTCAACATGGCAGAGGGTCAGCTCGTGGAGGTATCAGTTCTACGTCTGGGCATCAGAGTAGAAGTGCAGCTCGATGTTGTTGGGTCGTTTCTACCGATAGAATCAATCGCTTAATTATCTACTCCTAAGAAAACTCCAAAAATCCATAGAAAATTCTTTTTTAAAGCTCTCAAGCCAACGACTGAGTAAAGGTTTTTCTTAAAAATTTTATCAATAAAGTTAATGGTAAAAATTGTTAATTGTAAATTAACAAGCTAATCCACATTTCAAGAGATTATAGGTGGGAAACTAAAAAGGACACTAAGAGGGGAAGAGAAACTCTTTTCATACCATTACCAAGATGTAACTATAAAATTTTAGATGGACTAAAATTTTAAAAATATTTTAAAATTCTTAAATTAAATAATTAATTTTTAAGATGGTACAATTACAATTTTCCATTAAACTAGAGGATTAAATGACTTAAATTAAAGGTGTTACAAGTCTCTTGACCACTGAGATCGCTTGATTTGTGCTCTAACTTCGTAATTTTATAAATATATAAATTAACATTACAAAATTTTTAATCTAAAATAAGTAAATATAAATAATAATATTGATTAAACATATAATTAATATAGATAATCATTTATTAATGAAAATTCTTATTTAACATTAATGCACATTTAATCTATTTTTTATTATTTGATATCAGATATAATTTTAAATATTTATTATTCATAATTTAATTAAAAATAATTGATCCGTTATAACATTTAATTTCATTATTACAAAAATTAAACTTGGATGAAAGAAAGGGAAATTTAGATTTAGGCAAATGCTTGGGAAGAAGAAGGCTAGTTGATTTGCATTAGAATTATGTTTAAACTCTAATTATATGTTAGAGGCTTTATGAAATAAAAAGAGTAATACAAGAGCAAGATACCTCTTTGTATGAAATATTGGGCTGACACAAGTACAAGGTCATGACATACCCAAGATCTAATTAGGATTTACATAGGAATTTACATATTGTCATCAAGTGTGACAGTGGTAGAATTCGAACTTGACCTTATAAATTCAAATTCTTAAATCCCAACAAGTGCCTACACTCGTTGGCTATGTGTTTGAATTTTTACTCATATATTTTAAATATATTTCATATTAGATTTGAGTGCAATTAACTCAAAAGTTACCAACAAAGAGAGAGAAAGGAATGGCTGACTTCATCTACCCACTTGTACCCTCTTCCTTTCAATGAAATAAAATTTTCTTTTGATAAGAAAAAATTATTCACCTACCCACTTAAAAATGTTGATGGTATTTTGTTTGAAAAAGGAGACAATTTTAGGTTTGGTTCAATCTACAATGTAATATTGCTTAACTTGAAGATCAGATGAATATTAATTTATTCTATCCATTATACATCTAAAGGGACCTAATTAATTTAACAAGCTAGGTCAACCCTAAAGTTTATATATTTATAACATCATGAAGTCAAACCACTTTGTTAAGCCCTCTAAGAAAAGTAACTACTTGGTTGATGGCTGAACTGTGTTGTGATAGTGACCCATCTCCATATCACCTTCTGGCTTCATCATCATGCCATTCATCTCGGGACCGACCGGCTTAGCCTCGTCACTGTCCTCCGACTCTAGTCCCAGTTCATATTCCAGGCACATCAACCACTTGTTTTCAACTTCTCTGAAATTCGAACTTCGGATGCCGTCATTTGATTCGGTCTCATCGGATTGGAATGGTCCGAAGCTATCCAACATGTTCCAAAACTCCCAATCGGACTCGAACGAGATGTCGAAGGCAGTATCGAGGATATCCGGTTTGTTCACCTCCTCTGATGTGTTGTTATTAACATCGTAATAGCCTCCTATGAAGTTGAACAAGGAACCTACTTGGTCTTCTGGATTCAAAACACCAACCTGACCGGAATTCGTGACGTTGGAAGAGATCGAAGAACTCGACAACCCTTCAGGCTCCTCGGACGGGCTGCTGCTGCTTCCATGGTTTGATAGCTGATCGGTTTTGAAGTCTTGAGCATTGTCTGATGCTGGCATTGCAAATGCCTCTCTAGGGTTTTTGTCACTTGATGATGATGTAGCCATGGAAGAGTCCTTGGATTCATCTTTTTGTTGAGTATTTTCTTTCTTTGAAATCAATCTCTTCTTCAAATGAGTGTTCCACACATTCTTTATCTCATTGTCTGTTCTTCCAGGAAAATGTGCTGCTATCTTAGACCACCTGAGAATCAATTTAATTGTAACATAAGTAATTGAGATGACAAAGAAAATATAGGTTAAATTATAGTTTTGATCCCTCTACTACACTCCAATTGAGATCTAGTCCCTACACTTTCAACATTTTTTAATAATATGGGACGGAGATTACAAGACAATATTTATTTAAAATTTTTCTAAACTTATTGGCAACGCGTACACACCATACAAACGTAATTACTCAAACCTGAATTCTCCAGATAGAACAATATTCACTCGCTCTATGGGTTCAATTAACTCAAATTGAAGTATCTCCGAACAGAAACTCACTTGTTTCCCAAGGTCTCATGCAGCCTTATGATTTCGTCTTCTTCGTCTTTGGTGAAGTTCCCACGCTTGACATCGGGCCTCAAGTAATTAATCCATCTTAAACGGCAACACTTTCCACATCTCAGTAGCCCTACAACCATTCATCCACACAATCTATATTCAAACTTTTGTACGTTTGAAGACAATAATTTCCATAAACGGTACCACAAAATTCTTGAGATAGTGATAGAAACCATTTCACATTTATTGTTTTCTTTCCTTCAAAATTCAACCATTGATAAATTGGAAGCTACTTCAAAATTTTTGTATGTTGAGATGTTTATATCGGATGAGGAAAGCAATATAATGAAAATCTATCAATGTGTTGAGATGTCGCACATCAATTTACAAAGATGATTTTATTAATTCAATATGTTATATTCACAATTCATAGTTAGAAGACAAATTATCAATTTTGAAATTGTAAGACAGAACGAATTTATAAAATTTTAAAGGACGAAAACATATTATCAATAGAAAATATTAAAAAATATCTAAAATATACGATAATTTAAAATTTACAAGAGATGACTTTCTGACAGCTAAGGATGGCAAATGGGCGGGTCGGGTGCGGATACCCCATCCCCATCCCCATACCCACCTACTATTTTTCAATCCACCACCCGCCCACCACCCATGATGGGTACAAATTTTCAAATCCACACCCGCCCACGCGGGTACATTTTTAAATCCATCCCCACACCCACTACCCACTAGTGACATACCCATCTAGACCTGCCTGATAACAAACTAATGAGATGTTGGAGTTGGTTCCCAGACAGTTCATGATGGGGTAGCAGCGCATGCTTCAATTTGTCAGAGGAGTGGCTCTACGAATGTTATGGAGACAGATTATAGGGAGCATGTAGTCGCAAAGCTAGATTGTTGTGTTGCTTTCGATGTTAATGCTCATAGTGCGCCTAATATGGGTTTTGAGGGGCTAAAGAACATGTAAACTGCTGCTTTTGATGTTAATGCTTATAGTACGACTAATTTGTGTTTGGATGGGCAGCATTGGCTAAAGAACATGGAAAGTGACGTGGTTAGTGGGATTATGGGTTTAATCAAAGAGCTGAATATTTCCCTAATTAAATACCAGATTAAAGACTAAATATCCTTAATATTTAGTTAAATTATATGTTATATATTTATATAATATTAAAATTTATAAATTAGTCTCTAAAATTACACCTCAAATCCAAAATTTAATCAAAGAGCTGGGCGGGCGGATGTGGGACGGGCAGATATGGGGCGGGCGGATGCGAGGCGGGCGGATGCGAGGCGGGTAATGTCTCAAACCCATTACTCGCCCACCACCCACGACGGGTACCACTTTATAAATCCACACCCGCCCACTACCCACTAAAATTATACCCATCCCCGCTCCAATTGGAGCGGATGCGGTGCGGAATCCACGAAACCGTACCCGTTTGCCATCCCTACTGACAGCCCTCGATCTATCCTGTTTCCAAACTCGATACATAACCCTAGAACAATACGTATATACGTATGCTTATTATGGAATGACATTAAAGATGGGATTATATTGGAAACCAGGTCGATTTTTTATTTGTCATTTTTTTAAAGTACATTTAAAAGTTTGCCGGTTATAAAGAGACGAAATTCACTGAATCTGATCTGGATGTTTTAAGACTAATTAAGATTGACCAGTGATAAGAAAATTGGCAGTATCTGCGGATTTCTTCAAGTAAAAACAAACGTTTCAAACTTTCCTTCTGGTAAAATAATATATGGACTTGTATAGAATATTAGTTGTATTCATTTTAAATAATTTTTTAATGAAAAATATCTGAGTGACGGTGCATGGTATCAAATTAAGAGAGAAAAAACATTTATTCAAGAAGAAAGAACTGAAAATGAGATTAAATGAAGAGAAAAGTTACGAACAATGGGTGAAAAGGAATGTTTTTGTTGGTAGAGTTTTGGACTCCTAACAATGACGAACGTATGATCTTATTTTAGAGTAATAAATTTATAAAATTTTGAGGGAGACAACCGTCACCACCCGTTCTCTCATTTCAATGGTCGGAAAGAAAGAAAGAGAGAAGGAGACTGACCAGCTTGTTTAGGGAGAGCTCTCCATTTCTGGTGGCCATGCTTCTGAATGAAAGAGATGAGCCTCAAATCCTCCGCAGGACTCCATGGACCTCTCTTCACTTTCTCCTTATCACAACATGGGGTTCTTCCTTTCCCCATTTTCTTTTTCAATCACCAAAAACCAGGAGAAAAAGAAAAGGGTATTGTTTTGTTTTGGATATGGATTTGCTCACATATAAATGAGATTCTTCGTTCAGTCTCCTAATAAATAAATACAAGAAAGAAAAGGCCCCAAGGGTCATGCCATGAAATGGGGGGTTACCCTTCTCAACCAATAAATAGGAGAATCCAGGAGGATTATTAAATATCTATAAGTTCAATATATTATTAATTACCCTCTTACTAATTTGGTATTGATATTATGAGTGAATTATCTATTTAATTAAAACATCATTTAAAAGAATTATTTTTAATAAGATGATTAATATTATTATAATAACTTTTTCTTTTAATATTTTGATATAATATTAAAATAAAATAATTACAATTAAATAAATTATTTTATGGATTGGCTCCGTTTCATCTTTTCTGTACTACTTATGACTTTTACCATACATGGATCAGTTTTATTCATTTTGATATATATTATATAATATTTAGTTATTCATGACCTCATCTCTTGCTTTATTAGTATTGAGTGATGGTAAAATATTATTTATTTTAAAAAAATTAATCTATTGACAATATTTAAACAACTTATACATGCAACTACTTGAACTCGAAATCTAGGAGAATAACATTTTCTTTAACCACTAAAGCCAATGAGTTTCATAACCTTAATTCTTAAATTGAAGGAAAATGCACTTAAATATATTTGAATCTACGATCTTTTACATATTAATAATAACAATATCAACTAAATTAATGTTCCACCATCTAATTTATATACATGTATGGATGTACATGTATGGATGTACAAGTATGGATGTACAAGTATGGATGCATGAATTTGTGTTAGGGGTAAACTTACAGGATGATTCTTCTATGCTCGACAAGTATGATGAGCACCACTAACGATGACCACCATTAATTTAATTTATAAAAATTTAAAATTCTAAAGGACTCAACGTATAATTATAAATTAGTTAAAAAAATTAAAGGTAAATGTTAGGTTCGATGAAGCTCGTTCAATCAACCGAAAATGAGTCAAGAGGAGCTTAATTGGCTTTTTGAAATTTAGGGAGTAAGGAGTATAATGATTGGAAAATTTGCACAATGATTTATAGTGGTTCAACTTATCAACCAAGTCTACATTCACTACCTAAGCTCCTCACTTAGGATTTTCCAACAAATCAACTAATTTGTTCTTTCTAATTCAAGGACAAAGAGGTAAACTTTACAAACTCCCTAGCTTTTCAAAGGCATAGCTAGAACCAAAACCTCTTTACAAAGGAAAAAAATTGTAAACAAGAAAATCTCTAAAAAAGAAGGTGTTAACAAATTAAAGCTCACAAAAATACAAATATTTACAAGAGAAAGAAAATAAAGAATGAAAAGATTTTCTCTTGTGTTTGATTGCTTGAATAGGTGTTGGTAACCTTCTTCAAGTGTCATTGGGTTGTTTTTATAAGTTGGAATGAGTTACTAGTCGTTTCTAGTGGTTGGGAATGTTTCGTAGTCATTGGGAATCAAATAGTTGTTACCTGCAACTTTTAAGCCACAAGGGATCGATCATTTTTCAAATATTTTACCGTTATACCAAAGGGATCAATCCTTTTTGGGAAGGGATTGATCCTTTTCCTCGAGGGATCAATCCTTTTGTCAAGGGATCGATCCCAAACTCACTGTTGTCAAAGGGATTGATCCTTTTGCTAAGAGATCGATCCTTTGAGCCAGAGAAACTTGGAAACATGACTTTAAAGCGCCAAAACGATCAAGTATGTTTTGAAAAGGTTCGAATAAGTTTGAAAAACATATTTTTAACTTTTATTTGGACTTTGAATTATTTTTAAATACTTCGAATAAATTAAATTTAGTCCAAAAATATTTTCCCCTTATTTTTTATATCAAAATATAAGTTCTACAATCTCCCTTTTTTTGATATAACAAAACCATTGAAAAATAATCTGGCAAAACTCCCCCTTAATAAAACATTTGGTGAAAAAGAGCAATATTAGGAAAATATTAAAGCTCCCCCCTTTTCATTCTTGAAATTAAATTTTTCACACCCATACTTCTCCCCCGTTTTGTAATAAAAAAAACAATTCAAACTTTAATGTACAAAATAACAATAGAGAGTAAGTATAAATTTTAACATCAAAATCATTTGAAAAATCACAAGCCCCCCTCAACAAATGCATTCCAAACAAAAATTTGACTTTAAAAGCATGACACTTAAAAGACATTGAATATCAACAAAGATGAACAAACAAGTTAGTAGCACAAGAAATTCAATATATTCAAGCCTAATATAATTTATGCAATACCAATTGTTGTATTTAAGTGCATACGCATAAAGCTATCCAAAAATGTTATGCATTTGAAAATTTGATAACAATTGTTGGAGAGATATCATTTGCAATAAATCACTTGCATAAACATTTAAATTAAGGTCAAAAATTAAAATTTGTAAAAAAAAACATTAAAATCAATTTGACCAAAATTCATTATGATGAACAAACATTCACGAAAAAAATATTAAAACTTTAGAAAATGTTCATCACAATTCTTTTTAACATAAATGAGATAGAAAACATAAAATCATTTAAAATCAAAACTAATGCATACAAGATAATCAAAATAAACTTAGAGGTTACCCATTCCATATCAAGCATACAAGAGACATTTAATTGGATTTTGGTATCCAAATTGCTTTGGATCATTAGAGTTTAGTCTCAATGCCTTTTGTTCCCTTAGGAACCCATACTTGTCTAATTTTAAAATGTTTTCCTTTCTTTAAAGAACAAGCATGTTCCATATGACTATGATAATGACAATGTGAGCATTTTGTCATTATGAAATTAAATGAATTATTTAAAATGATTTCCTTTTCTTTTGTTAAGCATTCAAGCTTAACTTTTAAATCAAAGCATTATTTTTCAAAATTTTCAATTTTTACTTTTGAAAGCTCAAAATCGTTTTTCAAAATTTCATTTTGTTTTTCAAAATCCAATTTTGCTTTCAAAAATCGTTTTTAACTTTAAATTTTGAAATCATTTTATTGTATTTGGAGTTCATGGTCGTAAACTCCAAAAAAAATTCATCATATGCATCTTGTAACTCATCAAAAGAATATGAATCAAATTCATTAGAGTTAGAAGATACCTTGGGCTCTTCAAGACCCATTAACCACACCACCTTTGTTGGTTCTTCTTTCTTGTTTCCATGGATACCTTCGAGCTTATTCCAAAACTCCATTTGAACAAGAAGAAACTCCTTAATAGACATCAGGACCAAATGCACAAAACACAATGTGCATGGCCTTTGCATTTTGTTGAGCTTTCTTCCGTTCTTGGGCACTCCACTCGTTCGTCTTCTTCTTTAGAGAATAATGGATGTTCTCGATCATCTCCCATTCATCAAGTTCATTAGATTGGATAAACCGCTTCATTAATTTCTTCCAATGAAGGTATTTAGCTCCATTGAAGTATGGAGGCTTGTCGATCGGTTGGGAGTCTTCCAGGTGGAACGAGCCGGAGGTGGAATCCATCTTCTTGATTGTATCAGAAATGAATAGAGCTTCTTCAAGGATCGTCTCAAGGTTGTTAGACCTTCTAATGAGCCAAGCTCTTATACCAATTGTTGGGTTCGATGAAGCTCGTTCGATTAACCGAAAATGAGCTAAGAGGTGGTGAATTGGCTTTTTGAAAATTAGGGAGTAAGAAGTATAAGGATTGGAAAATTTGCACAATGATTTATAATGGTTCAACTTATCAACCAAGTCTACATCCACTACCTAAGCTCATCACTTAGGATTTTCCAACAAATCCACTAATTTGTTCTTTCTTTTTCAAGGACAAAGAGATAACATTTACAGACTCCCTAGCGTTTCAAAGGCTTAGCTAGAACCAAAACCCCTTTACAAAGGAAAACAATTGTAAACAAGAAAACCTCTAAAAAGGAAGGTGTTTATAAATTAAAGCTCACAAAATCACAAATATTTACAAGAGGAAGAAAATAAAGAATGAAAAGTTTTTCTCTTGTGTTTGATTGTTTGGGTAGGTGTTGGTAACCTTTTTCAAGTGTCCTTGGGTTGTTTTTGTAAGTTGGAATGAGTTACTAGCCGTTGGGGATGTTTCGGAGTCATTGGGGATCACAATAACCATTACCTGCAACTTTTAAGGCACAAGGGATCGATCCTTTTACCAAAGGGATCGATCATTTTTTAAAGATTTCGATCGTTATACCAAAGGGTTCGATCCTTTTTTGGGAAGGGATAGATTCTTTTGTCAAGGTATCGATCCCAAACTCACTTTTGTCCAAGGGACTGATCTATTTTCAAGAGGATCGATAATTTGGTCAAAGGGATCGATCATTTTGCTAATTGATTGATCCTTTGAGGCAGAGAAGCTTGAAAACATGACTTTAAAGCGTGAAAATGATCAAATATGTTTTGAAAAGGTTCAACTAAGTTTGAAAAACATTTAAAAACATATTTTTAACTTTTATTTGGACTTTAAATAATTTTTGAAGACTTTGAATAAATTCAATTTAATCCAAAAATATTTTTCCCTTATTTATTATATCAAAATATAAGTTCTACAGTAAATTATTTAAAATAAAGGGTAAACTATACCAATGAGTACTTAACTATTGTCCCTTTCATTTCGCCTACCATTTTTTAAATTTTGTCAATCAAGTTATCATAATAACTTTATAAAATTATTAGAAATTATATTGTCACAAAACAATGAATTATGATAAAAATAAAGAAAAGAAATATATAATAATAAAAAAGTTATCATTATAAATCATTTAATTTTCTAGATTATGAGATGCAGTCAAATGGTTGAGAGTTATCTTAGAACATATATTATCTTGTACTTACTCCAAATTAATATGAATTTTAAAAGCTTTTTCTTATCATAGGTAGAAAAAGTTTCTCAACTAAAAAAAGATTAATAATGTATTTAATCACTTAACTATCACTTTGGTTTTGTTAGGTTATCTAATTATTTTTTTTTCAAAATCTTCATTAATGTTAGGTTTTGATTTCATTTCGATCATCTACTGTTAGAAATTAATAGAACTATTAACTTGATATTTTTTTTATTT